ATAGATAGATAGATAGATAGATAGATAGATAGATAGATAGATAGATAGATTTTAGTTATTTTACTACTTCAAGTTAAACTAAATTCAAATGAGAAACGCTGCCTTGGAAACCAGCTAAAATAAAATAAATGTAATAAAGTAACGAACATGTTATTTTTAATGAACATTTCGTTTTAATTAAATAACCCTTCGTGACAGTACACAGTATATTTGTGTCTGGTATTGAAAGACGGCAGTTTTTGAGAAAACCTTTCTCCTAAACATTAGGGAGAAGAACATGTTTTCGTTCGAAGAATGGAGGACAGAACGGGTGAACAGAGAAATCAAAGCAGCCCACAATCGCTGCTGTAAGCCTGTGTTATATGCAGTAATATCAGACATCAGACGCTGAAGCTGGTTTACCCTTCTGTGTTTGTATGTGTGTGTAAGGACTCACTCTCAGGCCGGGGAATCCACTGCTGCCGGTTCCTCCAACGGGCCCCTGAAACACAAGCACATCCACCAAACACGTCACAAATCCCACAGTGCATTCAGATCACGAGGCTTTCTTCGTTTTAAACACACTGATTTTGGGCTGAAGACATCAAAGATCTCTACAGCTGTAAGCGGTTTTGGTACAATAACATTCCTGCAAAAACATCCAGTGGAAGCAAATCTGTAGCCAAAATATGGGCTTCTGATGGAATTTCTGTCATAATTTGGAATCCGTTTTAATGGAACTAAAAAAAGCATCTAAATGAATAAAATAAGGGACCTACACGATTCTTTATTTTTATTTGATACTTTAGACATTATTATTATTATCAGAAACCCTAGTCGTTGTCGTCTTAACAGTTAAAGGACATCATATGGGAAGTTTAGGCCTTTTATAATTCAGAAAGATTTTCTTTAAATTCATAAAAGACACACTGATGACTTTTATAATGGGAGAAATTTAGAATACTTTAGGATAAGGTTAAAATTCCGATACAAATATTTATTCTTTAGGATTTTTTCGAAGGTGCTTTGATGCACCACTGTTCAAAATTTTAGGGTCGGTAAGATTTTTTATGTTTCTAGAAGAAGTATCTTCTGCTCACCAGGGCTGCATTTATATGATTAAAATTACAGTAAATATTGTGAAATATTTTTAGAATTTAAAACAGCTGTTTTCTATGTGAATATCCGTTACAATATAATTTATTTCTGTGATCAAAGCTGTATTTCCAGCATCATTACTCCAGTCTTCAGTGTCACACGATCCTTCAGAAATCAATTATTATTACTATATAACAGAAAAACAGGATGCTTATAAATTGCTGAACCTAAATGTAAAATATTTAAAAATGAAATCATTATAAATCAAAAAATTTCATTAATTATTAAAACATGATTTTAATACATTAATTTAAATAATTTATGCACATCAAAAGACACTTTTGTACTACTGTCCAAAAACAATGTATGGTGCTCTTTGGTTTTCCCTAAATGAAAATATGAATATAGATGTATTGTCGGAATCTCTTGTGAAGTCCCAGTGAAATAAACGCATCTTAATTCTATATAACAGTGTTTATCTGATGGCAGTGAGACTCGTACCTCGTTTCCATCCGGTCCGGGCGGCCCTCGCTCACCCACATCGCCAACAACACCCTGCGAAAACACTGCATCAGTCTCACATCAGACACATAGCACTTTTCCATTAGGGCAGATCACACATCTGAACGCTTTGTTTGGGTGCCAGTCTGATCTTGTAGCTATTTAACTATCTCCTGATTAGTGCATGTTACTGTAAAGGATCTGCTGTGTAAATGGCAGCGGTTTGCAGTTCAGGAGAGCGTCTGCATGCTTGCTTGTGTCTTTGAGAGCCCAGGGGCCTCTGAACGTCTTCCAGCAAGCTTTCATCTGCGCTGGAGATGCCTGTGATTAATCATTCTGCTGCAGACGGCGGGCAGGAGCCCAGCTGGCACACGATCCGTGTTGTGATTTTAGCAGGCTCGTACATTTAAGGGCTTTCTCAGGACCGACGCTTCCCAAAACTAAACCAAAATGAGCTGCTCTTGAGAGTTTCAAGAAGTGGAGAGTGACTTTATGAAGAATCTCTGAGAATCAAGGAACGATTTATTAAATGTCTGAAAACCCCTGGTTAAAAGCTGTAGATATGATTTATTTCCAATATGATTTCTTAATGGCTGATGCTGATATCTATAAACAATCAATAGAAATCTATAGAAAATCAATCTACAAGATTATTATTAATTCATTAATTATTTTTATTATTATAATTATTTATTTATTCTTATTATTAACTTGTTTTTTTATTATTATAATAGTTTTATTTATACATTTATTTTGTTATTATTATTTTTTTATATATATGATCCAATGTATGTATTCAGTGCTGAACCTAAATATTAAGAATAATTAATTATTTAATAAGTTAGTAGTAGTAGTACTAGTATATGATTTAATGGTAGAAAATAAGATGTACATACAATTGTTGAATCTAAAAGTTAAATATTTAAAAATTAAATCATTACAAACAATTAATTCATTATTAAATAATTTATTATTATTATTATTTAATGATAGAAAATAAGATGTGAATAGAATTTAAGAACCTAGATGTTACATAAAATTAAATAAGTATAATCAATTAACTATTTAATTAGATATTATTATTATTATTATTATTATGTGATTTAATGGTAGAAGATAAGATGTACATAAAATTTCTGAACCTAAATGTCAAATATTCAAAAATGACATAATTACAAATAATGAATTCATTATTTTAAGAGATTACTTAATTTTTAATAAATGCATTATTATGATTGTGATTATTATTATGTTGATTATTATCATTATATGATTTAATGGTAGTAAATAAAATGTACATAAAATTGCTGAATTTAAATAAAACACTTATTTCATATAATATTTACTTGAACTTGAAAACATCAATAACACAAGAAAAAAATGTTATTGATGCTAATCGTAAAATGTCGACCAACGCAGATAATTGTAAAGTGTCCTGGTTCATCACTTTTGTACAATAACTTGCAGAATGACGTGTTTATATATTTATTTATTTTTATGCTGCAGAACATTTACCCCTTTTAGAAGTAAAGCAATGTTTCTGTACTAATGCAGACTTTTATACGTTGCATAACATCTTCAACCAGGACAATGCTGTTGGCTTTACAGCTGGACGGCAGATGACAAGAACAGATTCTTTGTTCATTTTCCTGACTTTTCTTTACCCACAAGTAACTTAATCTGTTTTAAAAATGCATCACTCATTTGCATAATATCCCCTGAAGACAGCTTATGAATGAGGGAGCGTTTACCTGTCTTCCTTTGGGACCCTTGATTCCCACAGGACCCGGAATTCCCTGGAACACATCGAGACGATGGCGGTTACCAAATGATCCAATCTGACACACATTGATCACACTGAGCCGGGGGGCGTCATCCATCTCGACGCTGTTGTCTTGCATGTTTTCCAGCTCATGTCATTCATTTGGGAATTTGAGTCTGTCAGATCGCAGCAACTCTCAACACAATGTTCGGGCCTAAACAGCCCATGTGTGTTTGTCAGTCTAACATGTCCGGACGAAACCGCCATTATGCTGATATTAAAGGAATACTGTTGGATATAAACAGCATCTGGAGCCTGTGATCATTTTGACTCATCCACAGTATCTAAAGTGAGTGAAACATGCTTTTACAGTAACATATTTACAATGGAAGTTTACAGGGCAAGTGTACAGGAGGAGAAACATAAATTATTTAGTAAAAATGCTTCCTATTTGCTCTGTTAATTGTTTAAAACATCCTTTTGAGGTGTAATTTCTTTTCTAGGATGAACAAATTTAAACTTAATTTAAAAAATGTAAAAACAAAAAATACTAAAGACATACTGTATGTAAACTGAAATAAATAATTGACATAAATAATGAAATATACTGTACACATTAGATAGAAAACTTACCAGTTAGTTGCCAAGGCAATATTTCAGGTTTCATTTAGTTTAAGTACTAAATCAATCAATCAATCAAAAAATATTTGTTAATATTAAAAAAAAAAAAAAAAAAAAAAAAAAAAAAAAAAAAAAAAAA